GTTGTATCTTTAAAAGAGGTAGAATCAAAGGGAGGCGTCCTTGCTTCTGCAGTTACTGCTGTTCTGAAGGCTTCAACTGAGACATCTGCCGGGTTTCTATCAAAGCAGGCCAGACGAGAGTTCAAGGGAGAGTGGAGGGGACTGTGGTTTACAAGGAACCACGTGTGTTCATGCCCCATCTGAAAAAGCTTGACTTCTGCCATCACGGGCTCCTAGTTAAACGTGAATCTCGCAATAGATGAAAGGCCTGCTTTCTTCTGTGTTTCAGTGGTGGAGATCAACAGCTGTTTATATCCTTCAATACCTAACCAAGGGTGAAGCCTTCACATCTGTCAGTGCTTTCAGGTTCTACTTCCTTGGATCACAGTGGGAAGGAGGTTAAGTTTGAACCCTGCTCAGTTCCCACGCAGGAACACTGCCATGAGCCCAGGAGTCTAACTCTAAGCAGATCTCCCGTGTCTCATCCTCCCAGGATCTCTTGTTTGCCTAAAGTTCTTTGATTTTATCCTGATACACATCTTGATCATTTCTCTGAGAATGACTCATAACAGCACAAGATGAAAAGGGAGAAAGTAGGTTGGACCTAGAGGGAGGCTGAAGGGGAGACAGTGGAGCGCACTGGAGAAAGTGTTCCTAAAACAGGATCTTTTCAAAGAAAGTACCAATGCACTCCCAACACGACATGTTAGAAAAGCTCGAGAATGAAGCCAGGCAGTAGAGAGCTTGCCTCGAAACCTGAGAACTGATTGTGATCTATATGTAAACACAAAACAAAACAAACAAAAAACCCAGAGTGATGGCAGATGCTTATAATCCCAGTGCTGCGGAAGCAGATATGGGTGAATACTTGAAGCTCATTGGCCAAGCCAGCCTGCTCTAACTGGTGAATTCCAGGTCAAGAGAGATCTTATATTAAACAAAGTGGGGAAGGAGAGAGTATGGATGACTATACTACAGTGAGAAGCAGATTGTTTCTCAGGAAAGAAAAGCCTTATGAATGGTCACAGTAGAAGGAAGAGAGGTCGGGCTTTCAAAACTGAAGGTTCATAAGAAATTCAATGGGAAAAAGACAACTCAAGCAATCGACAAAAGACAGGCGTGGGTGTCTTAGGGTTACCTTTGCTGTGATGAAACACCAGGACCCAAGTAACTTAGGGAGGAAAGGATTTATTTGGCTTACTTTATTCCACATCACTGTTCACCATGGAAGGAAGTCAGGACAGGAACTCAAACAGGGCAGGAACCTGGAGGCAGGAGTTCATGCAGAGTCCCATAGAGAGGTGCTGCTTGCTGGCTTCCTCAGCTCTTTTCTTTTTCTTCTTTAAAGATTTATTTATTTTATTTTATATTCATATGTATGCGTATTTTGCCTGCATGCATATGCAGATATATAAAATTTCTGCACAACATGCATGCTTGGTGCCATGAATACCCTGAAACAGCCAGTTGTGAGCTGCCATGTAGGTGCTGGGAACTGAACCTAGGTCCTCTGGAAGAGAAGCCAGTGCTCTTAACTGCTGAGCCATCTCTCCAGTACTTCAGCTGTTTTCTCATAGAACCCAGGACCACCAGTCCAGGGGTGACCCCACCCACATGAGCTGGGCCTGCCTACATCAATCACTAGTTAAGAAAATGCCCAACAGCTTGTCTACAGCTGATCTGATGAAGGTAATTTCTTAATTGAAATACCATCCTTTCAGATGACTGGTTTGTGTCAAGTTGACATAAAACTACCCAGCATGGTGGGCATTTCTCAACAGAAGACATGTAAGCAACAGACAGGCATAGGAGAAAAGAAGACAAAAGGTATTATGTATGCAATCAGTAGATATCCAAATGGATGCCTGAGTAAAGAAAATGTGGCATACATACATAATGGAATGTTTTTCAGTCTTAAAAAGAAGGAAATCAGGCCTGGAGAGAGAGAGCTCAGTGGTTGAGAGCTCTTGCGGAGAACTTGGGTTCTGTTAATCAGAATCTACATGGCAGCTCACAACCACCCATAACTCCAGTTCTTGGGCATCTGTCCTTCTCTTCTGGTCTCTAGGGACTCCTGCACACATATGGTGCACATAAACTCATGCAGGCTCATACACATATACATAGAATAAGTAAGTCTTAAAGGCAATCTTAGCTAGGTTTGGTGACACGTGTTTATGATCCTATCACTTGGAAGGCTGAAACAGTCTAAGCCAACTAGGGCTGTATAGTGAGTTCTAGGCCAACCTGGCTCACACATGGAAACTTGTCTGTACCTCATTCTCATTTTCTCTCTCTCTCTCTCCAGTCATTTGTAATAATATGAATCTTCTTCTTCTTCTTCTTCTTCTTCTTCTTCTTCTTCTTCTTCTTCTTCTTCTTCTTCTTCTTCTTCTTCTTCTTCTTTTCTCCTCCTCCTCCTCCTCCTCCTCCTCCTTCTTCTTCTTCTTCTTATTATTGGCAGGGCTTCAGGATCAAACCCAGGGCCGTGGCCATGCTAAGCAAGTATCCCCCCACTGAAGTATACTCCCAGCCCTCATCCAAGATCAGGGATCTGCATTTTGAATAGAAGGCCCAGGTAATGTTGACGAGTCTAATCTATATAGGTTAATGTTTCCTTAAAATTAAAAAGAGCTAGCTGGGCGTGGTGGCTCAAGAATTTAATTCCATCACTCAGAAGTGGATCAGGCAGATCTCTGTGAGTTGGAGGCCAGCCTTGCCTACTGTCAAGTGCCAAGCAGCCAGAGCTACATAGAAAGACCCTGTCTAAACAAACAAGCGAATGATAAATGCTAATGAATTTCATTTTAAAAAGAAAGAAAGTGTCACATCAAACTTGGAAACACACATACTGAAAAATCTTTTCTTGGAGCTAGCAGGTAAAGATACTTTTCCATAAGCCCAATAACCTGGTTCTATCGTGGAATGCACGAGGTTGAGGGAGAGAACCAGTTCTTGCAAGTTGTCCTCTGACCTCTACACATATACCTGGCATGCACACTTACACACATGCAGACAGATAAAGTATTTAAAACAAAAACACTTTAGCTGGGAGGTGATGGAGCACACCTTTAATCCCAGCACTTGGGAGGCTGAGGCAGGCGGTTCTCTGTGAGTTTGAGGCCAAGCTGGTCTACAGAGTGAGTTCCAGGACACCAGGACTGTTTCAAAGAGAAACCCTGTCTCAAAACCCCTCCTCCCCCCAAAAAGAAACAAACAAAAAAACCAAACAAACCCCAAAACACACTTTAAAGTACTCTTCTTGGAAATTCATAAAATGTACATTGACAGACTACCCTGTGCCGAAAGGAAAACACTTAGCTTCCTCAGAATTTCCCAAACTGATCTTTTCTCAGGAGGAATCCAGCTAAGATTCCTCAGAACATCAATGCTGTGGAGCAAAGAAACAGAGAATTCAGTTTGTGTAGAAAATGATGAAGGAAATGCCTAGAAAAGAAAGCAATTGTATTTTCTATGGGGAACACGGAGACATCCACTATTCCCCAGAACAAAGTCTAAAACCACCTCTGATGTTCTGCTCCCCAAACAGATGTCTGGAAGCTGTCACCCTCTCAAGTAACCCAAGGGTGCTGTACTGAGATATTTGGTTTGCAACTCAACGTGGCAATGGCTACTGCCAGCCAGCAGGAGTGTGCAGAGTTCAAAGCCTCCAGAAGCCAACACCAGAAGGATGATGCCTTATCATTATTGTATGTTCTGCATGTGATATTAACTGTTGCTTCTGAAAAAGAAAATCCATCCCAGTACAAGTAGCCTGCCTCTAATAGTAAAATGAAAGTTCATGAAGATAAGAATGAAGGATTTCCCACCCTCTGGAGATGTGAAACACCTGCCCAGGGGAGTTTCCAGGAAACTCCTAGTTAATACTGCATACCTCACCTACTTTCTGGTAACAAGGGACAGGAGAGGGAAGTATGAGGGGACTAGACAGTTAAGGCAAAGCCAGTATCCTGACAAACTGGTTAATGTGTTGAATACTTCAAGATGCACCATACTGCACCAACCAATTTATGTACTTTTTTTCTGGTATAAGCCTAATAACTTCCATACATCCCTTCTCAACTTAGGGACACCTCACCATCTACAATGATTTCAACAGAATTCATCACGTGCGTTCATCATATGCCTCTATCTCAGCTCTCCCAGTAGTACAATATTTACTCATCTTAGAAATGTTTCTGAGGGCCTAGGCAGACTCCCAGCACTGTGCTGGCAATGGGAACAAGAGTTCTCTCGTTCCTACTTAGCCTTGGATATAAAGCAATGAATTCCATAGCCAGCCTGTCTGTCCGTCTGTCCATGGGAATCCAATAGCTAGCAGTGCAAAGAAGTAGGAAAAGGTGAGTCTAAACCCTTATGCTTTATGGTTGATAGCCCCAAACAAGTCCAAATATCTGCATTTCAAATGGTCCAGTCTGTCTAGCAGTTAACAGAGTGAAGAGTACAACCTACAACTGCAGTAACCTGTGATTAGAGGAGAGGCAAATGCCAGGATTTTTATTTCCCCAGGATATGAACCCTTGTGTGCTTGTTCCCCGAATAATCTGTAGATTCCCATAATGTGACTTTTAATCATGAAAGATTAATACCAACAGTAGTCATACCCCAATCAATACAACCTTGCATTGTTAATTAGCCAAAAACTAAAAACCTTACCAGACTGAGTAGATTTGGAGTCTAGCCCTAAGAAAGCCAAGAAGATCCTATCTAACATTTTCCAGATACTCCCAAGCATGTGGAATGTATACCACTAGAGTCCACAAAATCACAAATAGACAGACCACAAATGACCTCTGTCCATTTCAATCATATATATATTTCGGATATACAGCTGATGGAATTTGAGGAAACATTGACATGGGTGCTATCTAGTATTCAAAGACAGTGTAAGACTGCCATTATGAAAACTTTATCAGCTCAGGATGGAATAGGACAAAACATTTAAAAAAAAAAAAAGCAAAAAACACACAATCAAATTTCGAGGCCCATTGTGCACTCACCAACACACGTTGGAAATATGTCCTCGTTGTTGATCTGGACTTCAATCCAATCCATAAGCAGGTTCATGTACTGGGGAGCCGGTAGTGCAGTTGGCTTCTTATACTTGAGGTCATCCTGCCACCGATACTCGTACTTGGGACCCCCTGACATCACGGGGCAGGTCTGCTCAGTGCAGAACTCACAGATGGTGCCATAGATGAGGTTGATGCGATTGAAGAAGTCCACCACATGCACAGCCACCCAGTCATTCTGGTCCTCCCCGCTGGGCAGCTGCACGGCTGCTCTCAGGTCCACACCTGAGTTGAGGGATGCCTGAGCTCGTTTATGCAGCTCAAACCTCTGTGTGCCAGGTTCAAATTTCCTCTTGGGCCGGAAGGTCTTGTCCTTGTTGAACACTTGCTTCAGGGCTATGGACATGGTCTCCTCCTTGTCTTCCTTCCTTTTGCAGGAAGCGAAAAGGCACTTGGGACTTTTCAGTGAGAGATCACAACCCAACAGAGTTTTCCACTGCCAGCCCTCAGGCCCCAGTCTTGCAGCCTATAGTTTTCCTCTATTTTAAATGGCTCCTTCTATCTTCCTCTTGAATGATCTCCAAGGGAACCTCATGTTCCTTCCTAAAGACAAAAAAGAAGAGGGAACTTGTGAGTGCTCAGCGTGCATGTAAGAACTAACAAAGGAGTGGGCGGCAGTGGTGCATGCCTTTAATCCCAGCACTGGGGAGGCAGAGCCAGGTGGATCTCTGTGAGTTCGAGGCCAGCCTGGTTTACAGAGCGAGATCCAGGACAGGCACCAAAACTACACAGAGAAACCGTGTCTCGAAAAACCACACACACAAATAAACTAACAAAGGCTTAGGAGAATTTGCACCTTGCATTACTGGCTGTGGTTGGTCCCTCTGGGTCTCAGTATGTGAATGTGGAGGTTAAGCTATTGCCTTGTCGGCTGCACTGGTAGTGTGAGCTACACAAACAACCAAGGAAGAAGAGATGCTACCCGCCTCCTTTTCTTTGTGGTCCCTGTCAAATCTCTGCTGCTCTTCTCTGTGTGATCCTCAGCTAGGGGCTTTCCCAGGGTGCCAAGGAAGAGTGCATTGGCCAGTGATTCAATCCTATTGCAACTCTAATCCTTTTTCAAGACTAATGGGTAGGCATAGATTGTCTCTGAGTTCCCAAATAGAGATGATGGGACCAGGCAGCTAAAAGGAACCGGAAGTCTGCATCTGTTCAATTTGTAAGAAGTAATGAAAGCGGTCAACTTAAGCCCTGTATGGGTCATGTGTAATGCAGAAGAGAAGGCTGGACCACTGAGTAGAGAGAGGGGGGGGGAAGGGGAATGAAATGAACAAGGGGGGGCAAAGAGGAGGGAGAAGAATAGGAGGGGGGATAGGGAGAGGAGGAAGAGGAAGAGAAGGGAAGGAGGGTAAAGGAGAGGAGGAGGAAGAGGAGGGAAGGAGGGAAAGGGAAAGGAGAGGAGGAGGAGGGAAGGATGGAAAGGGAGAGGAGGAGGAGGAAGAGGGAGAGGAGGAGAGGAGAAGGAGGAGGGAAGGATGGAAAGGGAGAGGAGGAGGAGGAAGAGGAGGGAGAGGAGGAGAAGAGAAGGAGGAGGGAAGGATGGAAAGGGAGAGGAGGAGGAGGAAGAGGAGGGAAGGAGGCCGCTGCAACAGCGGCTACTGAAACAGAGAAACAGAGCACACCTCAGGTTGCAATGGGGAGAACAACACCGGGAAGAAAGCGGCAGGAAGAAGGGAAGGTAGCTCCTTCAGTTCCACACAATCTCGGAAATGGTCCTGACACTCCGGAAGCTTAGCTACACTTGGTACCTTTGGGATACAGTCGTTCTTCCAGGATTGCTCGAATAATCCCTGATTTTAATGCTGCTGACTTGAAGTCAGTAGTTCCTTTGCAGGGAGCCCTGACTCTGACGGCAGTTGTCACCTCTGCAGGGCACAGCCTTTAAGTTCCTAATGTCACTCCCAGGAGCCCTTTGGAACGGGGCTGTTCAACAGAACTTGCTCTGGCAATGGACATGTTAGATGTACTTGTGGTCCAATGTGACACCCTCTATCCACATGCGACGCTGAGTACTTGGCTATAGACCGTGTGACTCAGGAACTGAACTTTATAATTTATCTTACTTTAATTAACTTGAATTTATTTATCCATACATGTCTAGTGGCTGCCACAAGGGACAGTGAAGCCTTGAAATCCCAATGTTGTCTATTATTCCATTTGACTTTCAGAACTCTGGGAAGACTTAGAGATTCATGGAAGAGCGTACACTCACAGAAAGTGTCACTCTTCACAGATCTCTACATGACAGAATTACTGGCTTGATAACATCCTGTAGCGAGCAGGAGGAACTGGATGTTATTATATTTGGCACCAAATTTGGTTTGTTGGCCCCTTGTGATGGCACTTTCCACATGGCCCCATACTCTGAACTGTGATGTATTTTATCCTGCCTTTCCTACTGGTTCATGAAGCTCCCTACCCAGAGGTCTGTCCCTGTTCTGTCCTTTGCATACATTCCCCAGAGGCTGCCAATAAAGCTTGGGTTGAGGTCAAGGCTGTCCTGTGGCCTTGACACAAAAGATGATAATGGGTCCGCCTGGACTGAACCACAACAAAGTAAGCCCAGAGCTGAGGCCAGCCTCAGAACAGCCAGCACAAAATCTGTTACAGGGGATTGGTGGATGAGCTCTCTGAACTGCTTTACTAACACCCAGAAGGGGTTCTGCCACCCCCACACGTGAACAGGGCTTGGTTAAGTCATTGACACAGGAATATGTTCCTGAAGTATCTTTTTAAACTTTTAAATTAGCATGCACAGTCTTCATCATGGCATTTTCCAAACAAAATTAGTTTCTGCTAATTCTTCCTGAGAGCTCGGATTCCCTCCCACAAATTTTGCATTTTGCTCAGCACAGCCATGGTCTTGCTACCATGTGCTTCTTCCTGTCTCTCCCACAGCCCAGTACTCCCATCCCCTCTCTTCTCCCGGCCTTTTCCTAATAGCTTTTCCCTGGAATGCCACATCCGGGAAATGGAACTTTTTCCTCCTTTTGTGGCATTAAGCATACACTCCCTGCTCCCACGAAAAGATCCAAGTGGAAAAGATCACATGACACTCTGCCTGAGATCTTCTATGAAGTCATACTCCAGGGTACTCTGGACTATCAACTACATGGATATATCAACATGAAAGTCTTCAAACTCTAGGGTGTGAACAGGTGCAATCTCTTTTTAAATGAAAACCTTTTGGGGGGCTGGGTTATAAGCTAGGTGGCAGAGCACTTACCCAGAATGCATGAGGCAGTAGATTCAACTCCAGTGCCATAAGGGGAAAAAGGTAGGAGAGGGTAGGAAGGAGGAAGAGAAGATGGAAGGTGGGCTCCTTGAAGACTTAGTTTGCCTGAAAGGAGCCTGAAGAGACCTGAACCTTTAAAAGGTCATTACCACAATAAATGCATGAGTGAGAAGTTGGGAAAATGGAGAAGCAACGGTGAGACTTTCTTCTTCTTTTTCCTCACTAAATCAACAGTCGCTCCTCTCTGCAGTACAGCAGTGACAGGTGGCCCCCTCCCTTGAGCAAAGAAGACTGGCTGATAATGAGGGGCCCGTCAACTCCCATGGTCCTTAGAGCCATGCTCTTCCAATTCTACAACCCGCAGTACCTCTGATTCTGCTGCTTGTGCGGCCTGTAGTGCCCATCTGATGGGCACCATGTGCCAGGCTCTTATGGACACCATCAACAGATGTGTCTGACATCCCAGATGGAAACACATGAGTAAGAACTTTCTCAGCCAGGCAGCGGTGGTACATCCCTTTCATCCCAGCACTCGGGAGGCAGAAGCAGGCACATCTATCTCTATGAGTTTGAGCTCTACAGAGTGACTTCCAGCAAAGCCAAGGCTACACAGAGAAAACCTGTCTCAAACCCCCACCCCCAAAGAACTTTCTCATTAAATCCCCAAGTGATTGGCACAAACATCAAGAAATAGTCAAACCTTGCTAGAATTTTGGTTATTTTTTTCCCTTTATTCTAATGATACTTAAGTAACAGATTTCAAGATTTCAGTTTCTTTAACTGGAGGGACATTTATCCTAAACTTCAGTCAGGTTTAAAATCACTATCTTGGGGTTGGGGAGACGGATCACCCAGTAAGAGTACTTTCTAAGCAAGCATGAAGTCCTTAGCTTAGATCTCCAACGTCCACTTAAAAGTCAGGGTGTGGTCAAGGGCATGAGTAACCCTACCTAGTGCTTCAAGGGTAGGGAGATGGGGAGTAAGGGAGTAACAGGAAGATTTCTGGGGGCTTGTTTGCTAAAAAATAAGGAGCTCCAGATTCTGAGTGACTGATGGAAAGCAGGAGCTGACTTTTCCTGTTGCCTGTATAAAGGCATACATGGATGTGTAAATTCTCCCTCCCACCACCCCTCAGATTTTGCCTTCTTGGCAGCTTTGGTGAAAGTGAAGCTTTTTTTTTCCCCCCAAGACAAAATTTCTCTATACAGCTCTGGCTGTCCTGGAACTCACTCTGTAGACCAACCAGGCTGGCCTGGCTCTGCCTCCTGAGTGCTGGGATCAAAGGTGTGCACCACCACCACCTGGCTAAAGAGAAGCATCTTTAGAATGTTTATTTCTCAAGTAAGTTCTTGAATCAGAGCTTGTGATTTAACTCCACTCCGCCCTGGACCCTTCACTAACCTTCCTAGTTCTCAACTCATTTCTCTGCCCCTGAGATGTACATGATGTTTCCTCACTGCAGCTGTTTTCCAGTCCCATGGACGTCTTCAGGTACAGTTCAGGCACCCCCCATCGAGGATCAAAGGGAGCACAGAGCACGTGGCAGTACTAGCCCCATTGGACAGGAGTGCTGGTCTCCTGGCACCGACTCCACATTATCACACACGCTGATGTGCTCAGACATGGGAATACCTCTGCTGCTTCGATTTCTCATTTGCAGTGGAGTTACTCTGAGGAGAGTGCCAGTCGGCCAGGTGAGGTTCCCATATATAAAGACAAGGGGAACTGGGATGGATGAGAAAAGATCCACCACTCCTCAGAAGGCTAAACGTGTGCCCTTCTAGGTGTTTGTCAAGGTGTCAGAGCTATGTTGGTGGAGAGACCCGAAAGAGTTCTAAAGTAAAAAGGCCAGGGTGGATGCACCTGGCCCTCCTTTCCAGCCCCTGTCCCTATGGAGACCCTGCTCATAGTGCATTCTTCATCGATTCAATGGTTGCAGCTAGTCAGGCTTCTGACCTCAGTTATTCAGGAAACTGGCCTGAGGACCGAAAGCTCTGGGCCAGTCTGACTAACTTAGCAAGTGCCTGTCTTAACAATATTTTATAAAACAAATGAAAGGCTGGAGATAGAACTCAGTGGCAGGGCACTTTACCAACAAGACCTGGGTTCAGTCTGTTGTACCATTATTAAAAACCAGACAAGACTCTCAAAGTGCTTATCTCATGTTAGCATGGAGACCCAAGGTTATGTTTAAATACAGGTAGACGCTTCAAGTTTGCACTTCAGACAGGCCCCGAATGACATCAGGATCTACTGATCCATAAACAGAGGTTATACTGAGTATCAAAGCCTGATCTACACAAGGGGGTGTGTTAGAAATGAAGATTCTCTGGCTTTACCCCAGACCAGTAGATCTAATCTGCACTTTAACAACATCTCAGAAATAAACGCTTGAAGCCCTAGGTAGGGCAGATGACTGGCTGGACAACTGAAGGGCTGAAGACATAAACTTGTTCTTGTGATTTTGTCAACAGTAGGTTTCATAAATAGAGTCTGTGGCTGACGGTGCATGTACTGAGGAAGAGTGAGAAGAGCCTACTGTTTTCAATTCAACCGCTTTGCTTGTGGGCGGGGGGGTGTCTGGTGGGGGTTCTGATGTGGGTGGATCCGGATAGCAGAGCACCAAGCACCTCCAGGCCTCAGGGAAAACAGTTGTGTGATACACACGGAGAGTGGCTACTGCCACGACGGCTGCATGCCAGAAGTTTCTTCGGCTGATAATGACATAGTGGTTATTTGCTGTCTTTGTCTAGTGTCCAGAAAAAAAAAAAAGAACAAGCCATAAGTTTGGAGCCCTGGATAGAAACACTACGAAAACTCTGTTATGAATAGCATCCATTATAATGCTGGTTTTCAATAACTATTTGAAGCCAATCTCTCATTTAATTGAAAAACATTTACTAAGGCCCCTTTATTCGGCAGACACAGGACTAGGTACCAAGATTGCAGAATTAATTAAAATTTGGCCTCTGTGAAGACCTCACAATGTGGTGTTCAGTATGCGGTCACTCTGAACTTTTGCTTTTCATGCTCCAAAGTCTAGCACATGAATGTGGACACAGACGCCATTCCTTCCGTGTGTCGCTTGAGTTAGAAATGAAAAAGGCACAAGGTCTTTGGAAAGAGAAAAACAGAAATCCAAACACACAGCATAAACTGACAGCAGCTCCATGTGTTCCCCATATTTTCTGCTTAATAGATCAACTTTAGCAATAAAAAAAAAAATGCACAATGAAAATATGTGGAGAGAACTCTGCCGGGCTCTGAGGGAATGTTGACAAGGTAACTAAGCAACGCTGGCAGGCATTGGTGAAGGAAGTTCTTATTTTTCTTTTCCTATTGATGTCTTCTGCCTCATTAGTTGAAAAATCAGAGTCCTTGCCAGGGATAAAGGAAGAAATGAAACAACTCCCCCACTGACTCCGGGGAAATGCATCTTCTGCGGCAGCGACCACCTCTAAGAGGCCATCATAGTGAGGCAGAGGGTGACAGGGACAGAAAGAGCTGTTAACAGAAAGACTAATGTTAACTGTCGGAAGTAAGTGGTGAGGGAGAAGTCCAAAATGTCATCTTTGGGCTGGAGGACGTCTCTGGGCAGGACAATTGACTACAGAAAAGCCACAAGAAAAATGCCTCCTCCTCCCCAAACACCCCACACAAAGGAGGTACAATCTGGCCCCTGCCTTGCTGGGTTCCAAGAAGCTGGAATGGTGTCCGGCACAGACTTCCTGAAAGGTTTGTTGAACACATGAGTAAACAACAGTGAATGAAAACCACTTTGCACTAAACCAGAATCACAAAAGCTAAACCAAACTGTAGCTCCTAAGCTGAGTCATTTGGGGATTTGACCTCGGCCTTGGAAAGCTCAGTCCATGACCGAATCTGAATATACCAGTTACTCAGGGATGTTCTATAGCGACATGCCAGTCTCCTACAGGGACAGGACACCAGTCCACTTCCCTTTCTGATGGGCTCCTCCAGTCCTCAGTGCTATTTCAAATTCTAGTCTCAGAATTACAGAACAAGTCTGGTGTCATCTACCAGTATATTTTCCTCTCTGTGGCTGGGATAGTCTACAGAACTACTGTTCTTACACTGTCAATACTGAATAAATTAGGTTTTAAGAGGTGGTGTATGTCATGGCCCGGGTGGTGGTGGCGCACACCTTTAATCCCAGTACTCAGGAGGCAGAGGCAGTTGGATCTCTGTGAGTTTGAGGCCAGCTTGATCTACAGAGTAAATTCCAGGACAGCTAGGGCTACAAAGAGGAACCCTATCTCGAAAAACAACAAACAAACAAAAAAGAGGTGGTGTATGTGTGTGTGTGTGTGTGTGTGTGTGTGTGTGTGTGTGTGTGTGTATGTGTGTGCCTGTGTGCTTGGAGGTCAGAGGAGGATGTCAAGTGTCCTGCTTTATCCTGTTCCTTCTTATTTGAGAGCGTTTTTCACTGAACCTGGAATGACGCTGTCAACCAGCACACCTCAGAGCTCCTCCTCAGTGGGGCTAGAGGATCCCATACCATCATACTGGCTTTTGATTTGAGTGTTCTAGCTGTGTTTTTTGATTTCTGTAATAAGATACCGTAACCAAGGCAACTTGTAAAAGAAAGTAGGTACTGGGCTTACAGTTTCAGAGGGTCCATGGCAGCAGGCAGGCAGGCATGGTGCTGGAGCAGTAGCTGAGAGCTCCCATCTTCAGACACAACCACAAGGCGGGGGGTGGGAGGGTGG